GGGAAGAAAAAGCAACGAGCACAGATTTATTAGTTTTCTTGGGGGTTGGGTGTAGGGGATGGTGGGGGTTAGGAAAAGGTAAAAAAAAAAAATGGATGTAGCAGAAAGAAAAAAAATGAGAGACATCTACTATACACATCCACATACTCCTACGTTCACATTCACGTACACAAAACAACATACAAAATATGAAATAAAAAAAGTGGTAGGGGAAAAGAAAAAAAAAATTACATCTTCAAATTTCTACTCCTCCTCCTCCTCCACCTCCTCCTCATGTTCTCTGATATCCCGGTGCTAATAACAGAGAAACTGAAGGAGAGAGAGAGAGAGAACGAGTGAGGCAAATAAAAAGAGATAAAAAAACAAATAGAAAGAGAGAGAAAGAGAGAGAGAGAGAGAGAGAGAGCCGATGCTCACATGTAGGGATTAGTGCATGTTGTGTTCGACGTGTGTTGTAATGGGAGGGCACCGGGGGTTCAGTCTCTGATGATCCAGGTGGCAAAGAAGGCGAGCGTATTGAAGAGACGGAAATCACGTAACCGGATGGATGTTCAACAACAACAACAACAACAATTGCAACAACAACAGCAGCACCAATCTTTACCACCAGTTACGATATCCGGTAGTATATCGGCAAGTGGGGGTGGTGCTGCTGCATCACAAAATGACAATCAACGTCTTGAAAATGAGGGAGATGTTGTATTTTACATGGAGGAACCTAAAGCTGGTACACCCAATCGTGCCAGACGTGACAATCGGTGAGTTTTGTGACCTTTTTTTCTTCATCATTTTATTTTCTTTTATCTTTTTTTCTTTTTTTTTTCAAGATAAAGTTCAAGATTTTTCTAGGAAAATCTACTGTTTTTTTTGTACATTTTAATATTCGTTTTTAATTCATTAAAATTCATTTCATTGTTTCATGTTTGTTTTTCTTCCCTCCACCAACCCCGTTACCTTCCTCCTATTTATTTTCATTCAAGGTGTTTTTTTCTTCTGCAATTAAAATAATTAAAACGAAAATGTTGTTCTTTCTTTCTTTCTTTCTTTTTTTTTTTTTATTTAAAATTTTGTTTCTTTTTTAATTTTTAATATTCGTCTGAAAAAAAATATTGCAAAATGGTTCATTCATTGAATATTTATTTTATTTGTTCATGTTTTTTCTTTTATTCCCTCCATCCACCCCTATCTTCCTCCTATTCGTCTTTAAAAAACATTGCGAAAGGGGTCATTGATTAAAATTTATTTAATTATTATCTTTGTTTTTCTATCTTCCACTCCTTCATCCATTTATTTTTATTCAAAGTGCATTTTTTTTTTTACTTCGTAATATTCGTCTTTAAAAGACATTACGAAAACGGATCATTCAATTGAAATTGATTTTATTTTTTTTTTCTTTCCTTCCCCACCTCACACCTTCTCCCTCAATTTATATTCATTCATGGTGTTTTTTTTAGTAATTAAAATGAAAATATTGTTCTTTCTTTCTTTCGTTTTTTATTTAAAATTCTTTTTTTTTTTATTATTAATATTTGTTTATAAAAAACATTGCAAAACCGATCATTCATTAAAACTTCTTTTATTTTTTCTTTTCTTCCCCTTCTTTCCTTTCTGCACCCATTTATTTTCATTCAAAATGTATTTTTTATTTTTTTTTTATTTAAACGTGAACATTTTAAGGATAGACGACCCTTTTCTTTAATATATTTCATTTAAAAAAATATATGTATATATATAGATGATATCTTTGTTTTAATGTGAAAACATTTATAATACTTTCATCTTTCGCGTTAAAATAATCTCGTCAAGATTTTCATTATTTATTTTCATTATTTATTGTTCGTAATAATATTCTCGTTAGAGGATGAGTATTTAAAACGTTAGTTATTTACGTTGGATAAATGTTGGTTTTCAGTTCCTGGTAGGTAGGATTATAAGCCCTAAAGGTAAATGATCGAATGGGTTATTTGATCCCATGAATCCCAACTATATTTCATATCTGCCCCACACCCCAATTAAAAAGAGGTTTTAAAAAATTACACTTATTCATTATTTTATCGAGAATTTCAAAAATGAAATTTCATTGGTATTATTCAATTGATCCAAGATTAAATTAGGATTAAACCCTTTTCGTTAACAGGTTCCGTGCTAAGCCCTTTTTTACCTGACTTGTCATTCAGACCATTTAATTTTGCTTTAACAAAATCAATCATTACATGTAATTATTAATTATTTTAAATATAACAATTAAACAAACTTATGTGCTTTGTTTTATACAACATTTTGTATAATGCATTAATATTTTAATAGAAATATTTTCAATTTGTTATAAACATATATTTACAGTACACTAACACTTTAATGGCCGTACGTTTACGCAGTCAAACGTTGCCAGGGGCTGATAATATTTTTGAAAAATTAATTTAAAACAACTTTATTAAATTCACGATCAAATTAACATCAAACAAAACGAATAACAAATATTATTTTATATAATTTTAAATATATATAAAAAGTTATAAATATATAAATAACAACCAATAACGGTTGTTCCAGCTATATCACACAACATGTTATGTGAGCGGCCATTAAAGTGTTAAATAAATATGTCAAATGGTAAGTGTACCACCGGTGGTACACGTAGCATGGAACATATTAACGATCCTAACAATCAAAATATAAAAGTCATTCGTTGCAAAAAACCAACCATAATTATAAAGTGTCCAAAAAAGGGACTGATACAAGTATCATAGTTATTTTTTTCTTTATTTTTTTTTTCTACCCATCTTCTTCTTCTTCTTCTTCTTAATTTATTTTGTTTCGTTTGACCGTATTTAATCCCCCCCCAAAAAAAAGTTAAAATCCCTTTTGTGTGATTAATTAACCGCACGAATTTAAACACGTCAGTTCGTAGGTTCTTTCGTGGTTTGAATTTAAAATAGATGTAAAACAACGAGGATAGTAAATGTAGTAGTTGAAGAGAGAAAAATGAAGAGACAGAAAGAATGAGAGAGAGAGAGTAAGAGAGAAACGTTTGATATACGCAGAAGAAAATAGATGAATACCTCTCGAATGTATTTACCAGCTAGTGCAACGTTTGTGGCAACAGTTTATCCTAGTTTTCGTGTCTTCCATGTCTATTTAGTCTCTCATTTTTCTTTTTTCTTTTTATTTCTTATTTTTTCTCTTTCTTTCTCTCTCTCTCTCGTTTATTTTTTGTCTTCAACCCTCTGTGACAAAAAAATGAAGAAAAAGAAGAATAAAATCTAAGAGACTTCAAAGGATTTTAAGAGTATGAACGTGAAACGTAATATCAAACGAATTGTTTCCTTTTCACAAAACACACATCCTGTTTTTTTTCATCATTTTAATATTTAATTATTTTTTTATTAATAATAATAATAATAATAATAATATATTAAATTAAATAAATTTAATTTATTATATGTAATATTAATTTAAATTATTACAATATATTTCAAAGTAATTTTCAAACAAATGTGTAATCAAAGGGTTAACGTTATCTACGTATATAAATATTACCTAATTTATTATATGTACACTCACAAAACATTTGTTTTTACGTTGAAATATAAAATAACTATCTTTGCAGTAACAAAACATCGTAAAAATAAAATTAATATCATTAAAAAAAAAAAAATCCAAATAAAATCTACTTGTTTTATACAATCACACAATGCATGAAAAGTGTCCTACCTATTGAACAGATTTTTTAAATCATTCTCACGATTATACTCTTTCTTATCAATCTCTCATATCGTATCATTAATAATAAATAAATAAAAAAAAAAAATCAAGACAACAAAAAAAGAAAAATATTTCAATGAACAATTAGAAAATAGAAATGAACGAGAATATCAAACGCATTGCTGATGTCAATTGGAATTGACCTAGGAACATTGCCATAACCATTCTATGCATAACTAGGTATTCATCAACACACATACATATGTACCTGTATCATCTATATATGTGTATTCAATAGCATAATTGGTGAGACCAGTAGAGTAGCCAGTGTCCAGAACGGGTGATAAAAGCTTTGTGTCCCTTAGGCTCTATCAGTAACATCAAACTGACCTGTTTAGTTCGTTACCTACGAACTAACTCATAAATTTGTTTCCCCAGAACAACCATATTCTCGTTATCCAAACGAGTAGTAGTAGTAGTAATAGTAGTAGTAGTAGTAGTAGTTTAGGTTACAGTTTTCGAAAATAACCCATTTATCATTCGTAAAAATGTTTCAATATATTTAACAGGATTTGTACTACTAATTAGGAAAATCTTGATTACGATAACGAGTCAAGGGACAACCAACTTTATAATAATGAAATTACCAAACGTTAAATATAATAAATCTGATTACTGTTTTATGAACATTTAATACATTTGTTTTATCATTTGTTGTTTACTTTTTAATTTTTATTGTTGTTTTGTTGATACATCATTTGAAAAATTTAATTTTTATTGTATTAATTTATTAATGTATTAATATAATTAACATTTCTTATTCGTGTCATCACCCATCATAATACGTAAAATGTACAAAAAAAAAAAAAAAACTTATAATTATATTTTATTATTTTTTATTCTACTATTATAAATAATAATTTCTAGAGAAAGTTTCATTTGCATATTAGTTTTGAAATGAATTTCTAACATTTGGATCTTTCAAAGAAAATCCTTCTCTATTTCTCTGATTGAAAAGGTGAAAACCAACTAGTAAAATCTTGATATTGATGTATATATATATATATATATGTGTGTGTATTCACATGAACGAGATTCGAGAAACTTGTCATGACAGATGTGTCAGCCATGCAAATAACACTTTCTCTAGAATGATTTCGAATATCGAATAGAACTAGTTTCGAGTTTGTTAGTGTGAGTAGCGTGTTTCCGATTGGCAGGGGGAGCCTTTTTACTTCCCAGACAAGTTCGGTGACTGAGGCCACCAGTGATGAAATTGACATTGACATCGAGGAACCACAAAGGGTCACAACGTAAGTATTTCAACAATATTTTTACCATTCTTTCTTATTTTTATATATATATATATATATATATATATTTTTTTAATTCTAGAAATAACTACAGAAAATAAATTTCACATAAACTCGAATACACACACACACACACATACGATATATGATTGGATGGTTATACATGTTTATTTTTTTTGCAAATACGTTTTGAGAACGATTAAAAAAAAAAAAAAGAAGAAAAATAAATTTCACGTAAACTCGAACGCATACATAGGAGAATAAGATAGGGGATGATTTTAATTTTTTTTTTTTTTAATTTCCAAATACGTTCAATAATTTCTTAATTAGGTCAAGTTATGTAGAATCTTTTTTATTATTCTAATAAATATTTCTGCAAATATGATCCTATGATCAAAGTAATTTTTTTTTTTCTAATAAAAAATTGCTAAATTAACCCACCCTTTCAGATCTGAGTTTTATTTCGTTTAAAGAAAAAATTATTTTTATCGTAAAATTAACATTCATGTGAATGAAAGCAAAAATATACATTTTATTTATTTATTTATACATTTGTAAATTTATATTTTAATGGATACATGGTTTTTATTCATAATTTGTAATATTAAAAAAAATTCTGAAAAAATATTTGTATAATAAATATAATACTTTTTATTAAACAATAAAGTATATATTTTTATTTTATAATAAATTAAATATAAATATATTAATTATCAAAAAAAATATATATATATTTTATAATAAATTTATATTCTAATAAATTTACACGATACTTTATTATAAAATGTTAACTAATTCGAACTAATTATTATTAGATTACGAATGACTTAAAAAATTCGAATAAAATAAACAAAATTTGTTTTCTAAATGAAATTAAAAAAAAAAAAGACAGAAAGAGATAGAGAGATTAAAAAAATAAATCGGATTAAACAATTGTAGAAAAAAAAAAGAGAAGAACAAAATAACAGAATAAGATGCTTAACTTCCTGAATCTTCAAAATTAATCGCAAGAAAAAAGTAAAACGATAGGAAGGGTGGTGAGAAGGTGATTGGGTGGTGTGAGGAATCCGATAATGAAACTTTGAACTTTTATTCGATCAACGATTATTATAGACAAGGATTGTCCTGTATCCGTCGGCTAACGTCCTTGATAGTCAAGAATATCCATGCTGAAAATATGTGGGCTACTCGTGAATAATATGTCGTATTGCTGGCTACCATCCCTCATCTCTCATCCCTCATCCCTCATCCTCCTTTTATCTCTCTCTTTCTCTCTCATTCGATTTTACCTCAAGTTTATCATTCTCTTTTACCTAAATTTTATTTTTAAGATAGGTGTGAGAGATCAGATCTCGGTTAGAGATAGAAAACACTCGACGACGTCTGGTAAATTCCTGGGTCGACGATACGATTAATCGATTATTACTTATCGGCTTTTAAATTTGTCTATGACATTTCACGTTTTTATTTTATTCCTCATTTCACGTTTTTAGAATCATATAAATAATCAAATATAATCGTTTAACACATAACAGACATATAAAGAAAGGAAGAGACAAACATACTTATATTATACTTGCATCTGTGCACCCACTGCCACCCGCAGCAACCCACAGCCATCCACAGTCACCCCCTCTCCCCACAGATATACACACAGACATTTACTACAATTATCAAATAAAATATAATCGTTAATACATAGCAGACATACAGAGTGAGAAAGAATGAGACAAACATACTTATATTATACTTGCATTTATGCACACGCGTATACACTCAAACATTTACAATTATCAATACAATGAAAAAAGAAAAGAGAGAAACTTTACCTCGTGCTAGTTCGTACAAAAGCCACTTCTTCTTCCTTTCTATCTTTCTCTCTCTCTCTTTCTTTCTTTATTTTGTTCACTATTTCTATCTCTCTTTCTCTTCTTTCTAGTCATTCGCACCAAACGCATAAGTGCTTTTTTTCACCGCTCCATTACTTTACAGTTGTCGGCCTACATTTTCTTCAAATGTATAGAAAGTGTAAAGTACATCCTGTTGTACAAAGATTCACACACTAATAGAAACCAAAATCAAAACCAAAACTAAAACCAAAATAAAAATAAAAACAAAAACAGTCAAATAGCAGCAATAGCAAACAGCAATAGCAAAGAGCAATAGAAAAATTGCAATAGTTGCAGTATAAAAGTAATTTAAACAACATCAAATGGACCACTAACTCATCCTCATTCTCATCTTCATCTTCATCTTCATCTTTTATCTACTTCTTTTAAATCTTTTCTATCTTTTTTTTCTCATTTTTTTTTTCTGAAGTAACCAACTCTATCTATAAAACATGTTTTACGTTTCTATGATGAACACGCGACACAAGGATAAAATTCAACTCGTTTAAATATTTCATTGAGCTACTATGAAAAAAAATAAAATGAAATGTATATCTCAGTTAAGATACTTTGATACTACTACTACTACTAGGTGTTATACTACTTTTACTGTTATTACTGTTACTGACTGCTACTTGCTACTGCTACTTGCTGCTTCTATTACTGCTGTTGGATCGATTCAACTTTTTCTACCTCTTTTCAATACCCATTCTAAACTAAATGAAAGTTTAAATTTGAACGAGACACCACTAAGTTTTTTTTTTTTTTTTTTTTTTTTGAGGGATTTCAAGAATAAAAGTAAAATTAGATTACACGAATTAACTTTGAATTTATTCTCTTACTTTTTTTCTTTCTTTCTTATTTTACTTTTATTTTATTTCATTGATTTATTTTTTATTTTTTTCATTGAGAGATAAAAGGATATTCAAACTTGATCGAATAGGATCACGTCTTTTTGAATTTTTTATTCCACAAGATTAAACTTAAACTAAAATAAAATTATTGTTACTTTATGTCTTTTATTCCTTTCTTTTTTTTTCTTTTCTGTCACTTTTTTTACTTTAAATTTGAAATGTGACATCAAAATTCTCTTCAAATGTTCTTTCCTTGAGATAAAACTTCGTTGATTTGATATTTTATTTAAATTACGAAAATTTTATTCTTATACTTTCTCTCTTCTTCTTTTTTTCATTTTTTTTTTTTTTCATTTTATACTTAAAAGCTGTTATCCAAATCGTTTTCAAACGTCATCTTCTTTCTTTCTTTCTTTCTTTCTATCGTACGATAAAACTTCCACGATTGAATATTTTATTTAAAACTGAGTTATATCGTGTTACTTTCTTTTTTCTTTTTTTCTTTTCAATACCTATCTTTCTTTCTTTTTTTTTTTTTTTTTATATATATATATACTTTTTTCTTCTTATCACTTTTTTTCTTATTTTTCTCCACTTTTACTTTAAAGGGTAAGAAACGTCATTTAAGCGTTCTCGAAATATAAACACCCGAAGAAAAGCCACTTCTTCTTCTTCTTCTTCTTCACTTGAGAATATTCTCTCTTCGATGAATAAATACCAACACAACAACTAGAGGAAGAGGGTGTTCTTCAAGTGAAAGTACGTCTATGTCGTTCTAGTTTACAAAGTCAAGTAAAAAGTAAAAAGTTAAACGCGTAATATGCAATTGTCAAAATTTATATAAAAAAAAAAAAATATTCACAGATTTATGTACAATATTTGCTAATATTTCTTTTGTCCTAAATCTTCCAAATAATTTTCTATGACAAACTATTCTCGAAGAAAATAATCATTTTTGTATGGAAATTATTTTAATAAGTTATACAAAATATTAGAAAAATATATTAAATCAAATAAACTGAAATGTGAAAAATAATTTATTAATTTATTTCAAATTAGACTGAAGTGAGGTATAGATAGTTGCATGTGCATAGGGCACTTACACTCAAACACAATTTATTTCAAATTAGACTAAAGTGGAGAGAAGGGGTGAGTCTATGTGCATAGGACACAAGTACACACGTTTACAAGTGTTTGATAAAATATTTCAAACATTTAGTCATTGAATTTTACCACTTACGAGGTTTACTTTACAAAGGGGAGGGGGAAAAAAAACTCTAATCTAATTTTTTGATAAAACATTGATCTACACTTATCCTTTAAAAACCTTTTGAAAACCTTTCTCGAATATTTACGTATGCAAATTTTAACACTTTAAACAGTTATTATTCCATTTGAAATGAGAAAAAAAAACTTTGATATGTATTTTTTTACTTTCAAACATTTGTCGCTATTATCACGATTTTTCTTTTTAGAAACATTTATCAAGTTACAATGTAAGTCGAAGTTTCTTTTTCATCAATTCGAGAAGAATTCGAGAGTGAAGTAATTTATCATGTTGAAGGAGAAGGGTGGGAGTGATGGGAGGGATGATGCTGGTGGTGGTGTTGAGTTACGTTTGGTGAAATTCTTCTAGTGTTTTTTTTTTTTTTTTAATTTTATTTTTCTTCTTTTTCTTATCGATTTGTGGCACATCTTTTTAGAAAGGAAAACGGTTTTTCGTGGCATACATTTACATTTACATTTATATATACATCTACACACATCTACAGACGCAATAAATCATTTCTTTTATCATGGTAGTAGTAGAACATGCACAGAGATCCATTACGAATTGATCTAACGAAATAGAAATCGATCCTTTTTCCCACCTTTCAAACGATTGAAATTTCAGGTTAACCGAGGCGCACAGAAATGCCATAAGGGCGATCAGAAAGATCAAATATTTCGTGGCAAGACGAAAATTTCAACAAGCACGAAAGCCTTACGATGTGCGAGACGTCATCGAGCAATACAGTCAAGGTCATCTCAACATGATGGTGCGAATCAAGGTAAGATCTTTCATATATATTTTCTTCTTCTTATCTTCCTTTTCTTTTTTCTTTTATATAACATTCACCATTTATCAGCAGCCTGAAGCTCTTCTCTTGGTTTTTGTTTACTTTTTATTTTTTTTTTTTTATTTTACAAACCAAACTCTCTAGTGAAACGTTTTAAAGAGGATACTTCGTAATAAAACGAATCTAAAATAAAAAAATTAAAAAAAATAAAAAATAAAAATAAACTACGTGTTTTGTAACATTTATCAAGATTTCATTTGTTGATGTATAAAACCTTTAATAATAACATTGATATTATTTTACACGTATTTTGTGTGTGTATGTATGGATGTGTATGTGATTTGATTTAATTTAAAATACAATTATTATGCATATTATACAATGAATCGTATATAATCTGATTAAATATTAATTAATTAATTCTTATCTCGAAAAATATTTACTCTGCATTTTTGTTCTTTTGTTTATAAATAAAATTGACGAACAGATTTTTTAATAATTAATTTATATATATATATATAAGATAAATGTACATAATAATATATAAAATAATAATAAATATGAAAAATAAATAATATAACATATAATAATTAAAAGAATATTAATAAGATCAATATATATAATTTTATATATAAATATAAAAATAAAATAATAAATATATATTATTTATATTATATATATATATTTTTTTCATAAACAAAATTAAATTTTTAAAGATTTCTAAGGATTAAATGAAATAATATGAATTTCAATTATAAATCATTATTTTCATATAAATCATTTTCAAATGAAAAATAAAAAAAAAAATAAAATAAATATATACACTATGTGTTATCTTAAACGCAATTTGATTATTTTATTTTATGTTAATTTGCTAATAAATCATAGATATGACATATACCATTTCTCTGTCTATCTTTTTCTCTTTCTTTCTCTCCAAATTTCACTCTTACTTGATTAAAGTCTCTATGCATAAAAATGAGAATGAAGTATCGCTTGTACCGAAAGATAAAGCAGCGTCAATCACTGTGGCTGCTGCTCTTATCGAACAGCATGACCTTTTCCTTCTCAAAGTAGAAGAAGAAGAAGAAGAAGACGATAAAGAGGAAAAGGAAGAAGAAGAAGAAGAAGAGGAAGTTTCGATAGACGTTGCAACCGAGAATGAGGAGGCTTTATTGTGTATCAAGAAAATCGATAATATCCTTAAGCTCTATACCTAGTTACATTGAGTATTGGGGGCTACCAGTAAATCCCAGTTATATACATGACAGTATTACAGGAAGAGCTTTCACTACTACTAATACATTGCATTATTTCTATGTAATCGAGAGAGACACGTTTTTCAAACAAAAATATCATTATTCAATGAAATCAACAAAATTATTAAACACATAGAATTATATTATTCATTTTTCTATTAATGTTTTACTAACACATTGCATTATTTAATACATTGATTTTAATCGAAACAGACACGTTTTTAAAAAAAAACACCACAATTATATTCTTCCTAATAATTTTTACTAATACATTGCATTATTTCTATGCAATCAAAACAGACACGTTTAAAAAAAAAAAATATTATTTGTTTTATTAATTTTTACTAATGCATTGCATTATTTTTATGTAATCGAGACAGACACGTTTTACAAAAAAAATAAAACCACAATTATTTTTTTTTTTTATTCATTCTCTAACAATTTTTCACATCGAATCTCTAACATATGAAATTTTACAATCTTTTATATAATAATTATTTTCTCAAACTATTTGATATTGAAAAAATAAAACAAAACAAAAAATATTCAATTATTAAATATACTTTTGTTTGTCTCCTACGTTTCAAACATCTCTATAAATATTAACTCTATAATTATTAACAATTTGAACTTTGAACTGTTGATATAAAAATACGCAAATATCTTTAATTCATATTATCAATTTTGAATTTCTATACAAATTCATAAACTTTCATTTACATTAATTCAATGAATCAATAAAAAAAACAAAATTACACTTTTCAATGAAAAATATTTATATTCCAAACAAACAAACAAACAAACAAAATAAAAATAAATAAAAATACACATATTTGTTTTAGATAAAATTTATTATCATATCAATGTATTATTTATCATATTTGAATATAAAATATGAAAATCTGATGATCGAGTATGTGTAAAATTTCATATGGAAAATGACATGGGAACACAGTCCCCCATCCCATATATAAAAATGATGTAATACTACTTTTCCAGTTGAAAGAAAGAAATCCGAACAAGGACATGATCAATAAGAGGGGACCCATTATTCTTCATACCTTTAACTTCAATTCGAGACATATCAAATTTGTTCAGGGTTAGAGATTCATTTCGATTCTTTCCTAACCTTTCTTTCGAGTACGATAAATCGAACACGATGGGCGTTGAGGAGACGTGATACTTTTGCGACGTGTTCGATTTTCAATCGTTTGCCATAGTATTATATATTGTGACAAACGTTAGAAATAAAAATGGCTATAGTTAGCTGCTCGAAAAACCTAGCATGTTGTCATAGTCATAGTTTCTGAAAGAAAAGTCAAATTTGTTTTCCACTAGCAAAACGACGATTGTTCTGTTTTTGTATCATATTTGTTTTCAATTTTGTATAAAGAGAAAGATTTGTCTCACAGTAAAAATAACAATAACAAAAAGAACCATTTTTATTGCAAAATTTTAATTGGAAACAAACCCCCTTTCACACTACTTCATCCCCCTTCAACGAACAGCGACAACGAAATATTTGATAGTTTAAAATTAATTTATTTATTTTTTTTTTTTTTGATTAAAATTAATTAGCGAAAAAGTATGTAAATATATGTGTGTTAAAATTACATCAAATATACTACTACATCGTCGTATTTATGCTAACAAAAAATAAAACAAACATAAAATACAGTCAATTAGTTGTTTGTTCGTGTCCACAAAATAAAATACATCTATAAAAACTTTATATAATAGGAAAGTTGGACAGGTAAAAACAATCAGAACATGTTTTAATCCTGTAAGGTTCAATCAACCTTGAAACTATTTATTTTTGTATTTTACAGTTGCTGAAGAATAAGTTCTTCTAATAAATGTACGGAAACGTTCGACAGAATCAAAACAAATATTTTTTGATGATATTTTTACTTGTCCAACTTGCCTTCCTTCCAAAGTTTTCATACAAATACAGTTTTTTCCCAATTGGTATAAAAATTTATAACTGTATTTGAAAACTAATAGAAAAATACTAATGGAAAAAGATTTTTTTTTTATTTTATAGCGAAAGAACAAAAAAAAAACAAAGAGGAGGAATGAAAGGGAGAGGGGGAGGGAGAAAAATGAGAGAAAAAGGAAGAATGAAATTGAGTGAGAGACACAGAGAAATAGAGATAGAGAAAGAGAGAGAGAGAGAGAAAAAAAGAGAGAGGGAGAGAGAGAGGGAGAGAGATCGAGCATTCAAAGCTGTCTACCATTGTTCACAGGAGTTACAAAGGAGATTGGATCAGACCTTGGGTAAGCCAGGCAGCTACCTGGCAGGAATCGACCGGGCTGGCAACGTGAAACCCATGACGATCGGCGCGCGCCTTTATCGGGTCGAACAGCAGGTGAATTTAACACTAATCTCATATTTATTTATATATTTATATATATACCATCCATTTATATATCTAATATTATAACCTAAACTTTAAAACAACATTTCTTCATTTACCAATCCCTAAACAAAAACATTCGTTATAACAAATCAATTATCTCATATTAATTTATATATATATGCACCATTGCTTTATTTCTATAAAATCAAATTTGTTAAACAATATTTTTCATTTAACAAATTCCTAAATAACATTTTTTATTTACCGAATTCATAAATAACAACGGTTGGTTATAACAAACAATAATCTCATTTTCATTTAAATATATATCATTGATTTATTTTTATTAATATAACCCAAATTTGTTAAATACCATTTTTCATTTACCAATCCTTAAATAACGTTCGTTATTACAAATTAATAATCTCCTATTTATTTATGTATTTATACTATCGATTTTTATTTCTAATATTATGACCGAAATTTGTTAAATATCATTTTTCATTTACCAAATCCATAACAACAACGGTTTTTATAATTAATTAATAATCTCTTATAATTTAATAAATATATAAATAAATTAATAATCTTTATTTCATTAGAAATCATTTTTTATATATACGACAAATTATTGTAACCAAAATAATTTACTCTAAACCAAATTTGTTAAACAACATTTTTCATTTACCAAATCTGCAAACAACAATTCTTTAGAACAAATCAATCTGCACCTTTAATTCTCATAAGAAATAATTTTTTTTTTTTTTTATTTAAAACCTAAACGATTATTCTTACATATACAAATGATGTTTAACTCATTCATTAATTGGTGTTTTTAAAAAAATAAAAAAAATAGTGAGAATGAGAGTGAAGGGRAGGGAAGGAGGAGGATGTGATATACGTCCATCCATCTTGATTCCAACAATTTCCCAGTAGAATTCCAAAAGGTTCTCGTTAATGTTCTCCCCTGCCATGACGAAAGTTACACGGCGGTAGAAGCTTTCCGTTAATTACCACGCCAATCCTTTCCACCCTTCCGATCCCCTATCCCTTACCCCATCTCTCCCTTTCTCCATTTCATTGTCGATTCCTTTCCGAAAAGTCACTCGTTCGTTCTTTCGTCCTTTGTGGTTAGAACTTTTAATCGAGCAAGGACAATGTTAGAACTCCTATAAAAACACACTTCTTAGTTTCCTTCTCTTGAAAATATATTATAC